TCAATTCATGTGAATATGACTGAAAAATTTCATTTTTTCTGAAAAGGTGGCATCTATTTACTTGTAACCACTCTGTGTATATATGCACTGGGATGTATGTTTATGTATTTTTTTAGAGTCTTCCATTTAAGCATTAAACTGAAATGTGTGTGCATATATTTGTAAGAAGAAGTGTGTTCAAGTTATGAGTCAGTTGTTGGCCAATTATATTTAAAATATTTTTATTAACATTTATAATTTTGAAAAAATTAACTTTTTTTTAATGATCAAGATTACTTACATTTTGTTTGTTAAAAATGGTTAACATTTGACTTGTACCTTCGTGGGACAGCGGTAAGTTTATGGACTTACAATGCTAAATTCCAGGGCTTGACACAGCAGATAACCTAACGTGGCTTTGCAAACAAAAACGATTTGTCTTTAGAAATGAATACAAAGTTTGGCTTCTGAGAAGATAACACTTGTAAAAACCTTACTGTGCATTATAACAGTAAAAATAAAAGATATAACACTTTAGATAATATATCCCTAAATTATACACAAGAAACAGAACAAAAGAATATACTTCACTAAATCTATTTTGTATTTTGAAGATAAAGATGTTGATTTTTATTTACTACTTAATTATGCCTTTACTGCAAAGCAGAGCAAGGCATATTAGTTTGTTCCTGAACATTTATCCATCTTAATCTTGTGGACATGAGATCTCAAGATTGGATGGATGTATTTTGATCAAATTTTTGTAACAGGCACTACATACAAAGATCTAGACCTGATTAACTGTTGAAGGTCAAAGTGGAGTATAAATGTTTTATAAACACAATTTGCTCTCATTGTACCTTGATTCTTTTATGGAATTATATTCTGTACTGTTACTAGTACAGTTTATAAAGTCAATATGATGCTAATTTTTTCAATACAGTGCTTTATTATCTCCAATAATTTAAGTAAATATAATATTATTTTTTCAGGTTGAAATTATTGGAGGACCAGAAAAGTATAAGTCTGTTTGCCGTGCATGTTATTTTAAAGTATCACCTGTAAAAGACTCAACAGAGTTGCCTTATTCAATGGATAAAGAGAGATCTGTCGTAGTTCGTCAGTTGAACGTGAACTAATAATGATAGTGATCATTAAAATCTTGGCTGAGGAATAATAACCCTAAAAAGTCAAGTGGTAAACAAAATATATTGCAACTTTTTATTTAAATACCCTCAAAATAAATTATTCACAATTTCCAAGAAAGTTGAGTAACTTGCGTAACTTCAGTTTTAATATAAAAGTCTTTGTATTTTGTACAATTAATTATAAGATAGACATCCATTTTAAAGTTAAGAAATATAATTTATTTGTTTAATTTTGATATTTTCTGGCACATTAAATTTGTCCTAAAGTGCTTTATTGTGCATAATACACAAGTTATGTCATTCTTTGCAATAATTCAGGTTTAGATGGATAGTCCTACAATTTTTAATATTTTTAGCTTGTTCTATATTACTTGATTTTGCAAAATACATGTAATAACATTTCCTTGAGTATATGGTAATGAAAAATATTACTTTAGTAGGTTTTTGAGTATTAATAATGTAAAAAGCATACAAGTTTTGTAGTTCATCAGTTTTCCAGTGTTTGATAATCCAAGATAAATCGTATAATCTCTCCCGGTGTTTGGTAATTCACTATACATCAGATAGCTTTGCATCCAGTGTTTTTTGTAATCCAAGATATATCACATAGCTTCTCATCCTGTGTTTGATAATCCACGATACATTTCATAGTTTTTCCTCTGATTTTCAGTAATCTTGGGTATGCCATGGTGTTTTTCCCCTAGTGTTTGATAAACCTGGTTATGCCATGATGTTTTCCCCTAGTGTTTGATGATTCTGGTTATGCCATGGTGTTTCTTCCTAGTATTTGATAATCCTGGTTATGCCATGGTGTTTTTCCCTAGTGTTTGATAATTCTGGTTATGCCATGATATTTTTTTCCCTAGTGTTTGATAATCCTGGTTATGCCATGGTGTTTTTCCCCTAGTGTTTGATAATCCTGGTTATGCCATGGTGTTTTTCCCCTAGTGTTTGATAAACTTGGTTAT